CAGCCACTGGTCCGTTTCCATCCCCAAAAGATTATCTCACTCGGCTCATGATTAGCCTACAGATTCCCTAGAAAATGAGACAGTTTTAGCACTAGAGGGCTAATACTACTGGTTACAACTACACAACTACAAGGGGTCTAGGGCCTAGTGCAAAGAGAAGGGTGACAAACAATGGATCCTCCTACCAGAAATGAGTTCAACTTGGCCAAGCTCTTCCTCTAATGACCTATACATATGGGGACCTTTCTCAGAACCTCATCAGTAAGCTGAGACTCAAAGGTTGAGGTAATACATGAAAAACACCTAGCACAAAGACAAGCACAGAGTAGGTGCTAAATAAGCATTAGCTCTCCTCATTATCCTAATAGTCCTTCCCTGGTGGCTCTGATTCCAGAGGAATGGTAAGGCTCTTCAAGGGCTAGAAGATGCTGATTGAGCAAGATGGATAAGCATTTTTGTCATTCAATGCATTCAATCAAACGATTACTGATTGCCTATTGTATTGCGTCTAAGCACTGACATTTGATGACTGCCTCCTCAATATGCCTACCTTCAGTTCTCTCAGTAACAATCTTGGATTCTTATTTGAGAAGATTCCCTTCCCATCCAAATCCTACATTCTCAGGCATGCACTTTAAATGGAAGGGACCCTACCTCCAGAGGTGACAAGCAGAACACTAGCCCCTAACCCTGCAGACTGATCTGAGATAGTCATGTACGCAGGCCATCCTCCTGACTACAAGTATATTCTTCTCTGTCCTTCACAATCTATCTTTTTAGCCTTAGGGTCCCTATAGCCCAACCTTATGATTTAACCTAAACAGAATTCCCACCGTTCTCCAAACATATCCTGGTGTTCCCCATCTTATGCCTTTGCTCTAGTCACTCCCTTTATTTGGAATGTTCTCGCTCTCACCTCAACTTCCTAAAGAATCCCAAACTTCTTTCCTTAAGAGGAAAGTACTACCTCTTTCAATTTTGGCTGAGGTCAAATAGCCCTCCTTTAATCTTTAATTTACCCACTCTTTAAGAGTGCACTAGAATATACAAATAATTCCTACAACTCAACAACAACAAAAAACAACTGAAGTCAAAAATGAGCAAAGGCTGTGAATAGGCATTTCTCCAAAGTTATACAAATGGCTATAACCACATGAGAAGAGGCTCAACATCACCATTCACTGGCAAAATGTGACACCAGAGTCACACCAATTAGGATAGCTATTACTAATAAATAAAAAGTGCTGGTGAGGATAGGGAGAAATTAGAACCTTTGGACACTGTTGGTGGGAATAGAAAATGATGCAGTTGCTAAACAGTAGGACAGTTCCTCAAAAAGCGAAACACTGAATTATCATATGATCTAGCAATTTCACTTCTGGATATACAGGTGATCTCCGACTTACCATAATTCAACTGAAGATTTTTCAAATTTATGATGGTGCCAAAGTGACATGCATTCAATAGAAATCATTTTCAAATTTTAAATTTTGTTCTTTTCTAGGCTAGCAATTCAGTACAATATTCCGTCATGATGCTGCACAGCAGCAGTGAGCCATAGCTTCTGGTCAGCCACAGTAACATAAGTGTTCTGAGCACGTTTGAAGTAGGCTAAGCTATGTTCTGTAGGTTAGGTGTGGTAAATGCACTTCTGGCTTATATTTTCAAGTTATGATGGGCTTATTAGGTTGTAACTCACCCTAAGTTGAGGAGCATCTGTACTGAAAATAAGGAAAAGCAGGAACTTGAACACATACTTGTATACCAATGTTCACAGCAGTATTATTCACAAATAGCCAAAAGGGAGAAGCAACCCAAAATATCATTGAATACCATGAATGGGCAACAGAACATGGTATATACACATACAAAGGAATATTATTCAGCTCAAAAAAGGAGGGAAATTCTGTTGCATGCCACAATATGAATGAACCTTGAAGATATTATGCAAAGTGAAAGCAGCTACAAAATGCTACTAAATGAACCCACAGACATCTAAGGAAAAGGTATCTAAGGTGGTCAAATTCATAGAGACAAAGCATGGTGGTTGTCAGTAACAGGAGGGAGGAAAGAATGAGGAGCTAGTGTTTAATGGGGACAGATGAAAAAGTTCTGGAGATGGACAGAAGTGATGGCTGCACAACAATGGGTACGCACTAATGCCACTGAATTGTGTATTTTAAAATGGTGCCGGGCGTGGAGGCTCACACCTGTAATCCCAGCACTTTGGGAGGCTGATGTGGGCAGATCACCTGAGGTGAGGAGTTCGAGACCAGCCTGGTCAACATGGTGAAAACCCATCTCTACTAGAAAGTACAAAAATAAGCTCAGCGTGGGGGCGGGTAAACCTGTAATCCCAGCTACTCAGGAGGCTGAGGCAGAGAATTGCTTGAACCCGGGGGGCAGAGGTTGCAGTGAGCTGAGACCATGCCACTGCACTCCAGCGTGGGCAACAAGAGTGAGACTCTGTCTCAAAAAAAAAAAAAAAAGGCCAAGCACGGTGGCTCACGCCTGTAATCCCAGCACTTTAGGAGGATAAGGCGGGTGGATCATGAGGTCCGGAGTTCAAGACCAGCCTAGCCAAGATGGTAAAACTCTGTCTCTATTAAAAATTTAAAAATTAGCCAGATGTGGTGGCAGGCACCTGTAATCCCAGCTACTCAGGAGGCTGAGGTAGAGAACTGCTTGAATCTGGGAGGCGGAGGTTGCAATGAGTGGAGACTATGCCACTGCACTCCAGCCTGGGCAATACAGTGAGACTCCATCTCAAAAAAATAATATAATAAAAATAAATACATAAATAAAATAAAATGGCTAAAATGGTAAACTTTTTGTTTATCTAAGCACAATTAAAAAAAAAAAACAACCTCAACATGCAAAACTTCAGTGTCTCTCTTACTAGTAATTGTCTCATTGCGTAACTCTTGACATCTCTCATAGCAACTACTTTACCCATAGATCAGAGTCCCTTCATTCAATTGTTAGCACTGATTGGTACTGTGCTAACAAATGAACAAAGGGACCTAAGTATTTGAGTATGCATATGCATGTGTAGGAAGTAAAGGCTCTAAGCCAACATCTCTTTTGCCCAGTTTATTATTCCTCCCTTAAGGAAATCAAAGAAGGAATGGTGTTGGCCCATCTTGAAAGAACTTTATCAAGAACTGGGTTTAAGCCCAGTTTGTGTAAAACTCTTAATTGGCCTACAGGCCAAAAGAAGTTTAATATTACCTCCTTAACCCCTAAAGACTACTGTCTTGTGGCTCCAACGTTAGGGAAGAAGTGAGACCTGACTACTTAAGTTTCTCTCCTTTCTTCTTCTCCCCACTGTACAATCTTTGTAAAGTGTAAGAGGCCAAGGTAAACTATTCCTATAGGGCCTCTTAGGGATATCTAAAAAGCAACAGCTTTTGGCTGGGCATGGTGGCTCATGCCTGTAATCCCAGCACTTTGGGAGGCCAAGGTGAGCAGATCACCTGAGGTCAGGAGTTCAAGACCAGCTGGCCAACATGGTGAAACCCAGTCTCTACTAAAAAAATACAAAAATTAGCTGGGCATGGTGGCGAGCGCCTGTAATCCCAGCTACTCGGGAGCCTGAGGTAGGAGAATCGCTTGAACCTGGGAGGTGGAGGTTGCAGTGAGCCAAGATTGCACCATTGCCCTCCAGCCTGAGCAACAATAGTGAAACTTCATCTCAAGAAAAGAATTTAAAAAAAGGCAACAGCTTTTGGGCAATGATCTACCGTTACTGTACCTCCCACTTCCCTTCATTTTCAAGAAAAATTTTTCATGCATTCAACAAACAGTAAGATTACATTCTTTCTTCTCAAGTTAAGTCTTTGAAATCTGGGGTACATTTTATACTTAAAAGCATGTCCTAATTTGGACTAGACACATTTCAAGTGCTCAGCAGCTACATGTGGCTAGTGGTTACTGTATTAGATGCATAGCACTAGTGTATCTCAAAATAACTGTTGAGGCTGGACGCAGTGGCTTACACCTATAATCCCAGCACTTTGGGAGGTTGAAGTGGGAGGATCGCTCAAGGCTGCGGTAAGCTATGAACATGCCGCTTCACTCCAGCCTCACCCATAGAGCGAAACCCTGTCTCAAATAAAAAGAAAAAACCCACAAAATAACCCTCCGAAACAAACAAAAAACCAACAGTTGGGACGAACTAGGATTAATACTTGCCGAGCATTTACTTCTCTGGGTAGGGTGGGGTAATGCCGAAGAAATTATGGAATCTGAAGCGGCTTACCCATCAAAGGAAGAGCTGGTGCAGTCGTATACCATCTCCCGGTTACCCTTCATTTGTAGATATGCATCACAATTGTCACAACCATCATATTCAAACTGGTCTATAGTCTGGGAGTGAAGAAAAATTAAGGAAAAGAAGAGATAAGCATAAACAAGACCAAAAGAAAAAGTAGCTTTCTCAATACTTCAACCTGCTCAATTTCTTGTTTCCCTATGTTGACTATGTCTCCTCAGGTTCCCCACCTACTGCTCCCGAAGCTCCATTCCTAAGTCCCACCCTCCCACTCCTTCCTCTCTTGTTCCCAATTCCGTCTTATCTATTCCTTTCTCTAGTCTCCTCAGGGTCAGGCACCCTTTCCAACTACTCACTCAGCTGCGGATCCCCATCCGCCTCTGACTTCCAGTGTCATTCGGCTCCAACCTAAGTCCACCGAACGTCTAAGTGCTGAGGATTCAAAGCAGCCTCAGCTGCAAGACCTGCCCGCGACCCAAGGAGGTAAACAATGGCCTCCTTTGGCTTCTCCTCCCGCTGCCACCCGGATCTTACTTTTCTCTTTACTGTCCTGGATCTTACTTTTCTCTTTACTGTCCCACAGCCCCGTTCCGCCCTCATTCCCCCATCTTGGTCCCCATGGACCCTACAACCAGGCTCCCGACTGACACCTTGACCAGTGAACACAGCAAACAGGCCCGCAGATGCCGCAGGTCCTTCGGCACGGTCTCCAGGGCCATCTTCTCCGATGGGAAGAGCAACCGAGATGAAGACTTCCACAGCCTACACACCCGCAGGAAGTAAACAGCTCGTTACCCAGAATGCCCGCCGCTTCCGGTGCTTAAACTTCCTCTTCCGGTGTGGGCGGGCGCCGGCTCCGCCCCTACCCCCGCCAGATGAGATGGTTTCTCCCACCGGCAAGCGGGGAGGCGGGGCGGCCGGCTGCCACCTGGGCCCTGGCGCGTCCTCACCACCTGGGCCCGCGGAGGGTGAGGCGGAGGCGGTGTAGGGTAGTCGGCGGGTCCCCGGGGGGCGGGGCGGGCGGCTGTGCCTGTGCGGGAGTGCGTCGGCCTGAGCCGCAGGGCCGCGATGCGGGCCGTTTGATCTGTGCTGCTGGCATGGGGCTCTCGTCTCGTTCCCCGAGGGTAACCCGAAGTGTTGTGTTGTTTGTTTGTTTGTTTTGGTCTTCTCATTTTAGAAGCATTGGGGCAGTGAATCCAGTGTCTCCCTCTGGATTATCTCTGCAGACCCAGGACAGATCCTAGGACAGCCCCACCCCTCCTTCCTAACTGCGAGAGCGCTGTAGGGTTTCCACTTGCCTCCCACAGGAATGTTGGCTGGGTAGCTACGGCGGAAAAAAATGCGTATTTATCTTTTAAAACTATATGTCTGTTTGCTCGTTTCGGCTGATAATTTATAGTTTGCGCAGTTCTTAGTACTTAGACCACGCTTCCTTTACTAAAGAATATTTGTAGATTAGTGTCCTTTTTTTCCCCTTTCATTTCACGTATAGGAAGCAAAATGCCTTGTTCTATGGGCACCAAACCACCACCACCCCTACCAAACCTTTCTTGGGGAAGCAGAAGGGGCACTTGTGCCGTGGTGAGGAAGCGACAGAGGCCCCTTCTGCCCCTGGAGACTTCAGGCCAACGGAGCACCAGCTCTCTTCGTCCTCCCAATAGCCCGAGTGCAGGCAAAACACAGTCATTTGTATTTATCTGAAAGGAGCTTTGGGATATAAATAGTTTCAGGCCCCGCTGCTCTGTCCTTCCAGGTCAGCCTCCTGATTGAAACTGAGCTGCTTCCGGGGAGGCTTACTTCTTATTGCTGGTCCCATGCTGTGTTCAGATGGGTTCTGTGACAGGTTTGGATGTTTTCTATCACTGCATAAAACTTTCCACTTTGGAACATGTTTTCTACTGTCTGCTATCTCACCTAAGTCCTGCAGCAACTATGAAGTAGGCCCATTTTATGGACTGAAAAAGTGAGGCACAGAGTATTGCCCAGGGTCACAAAGTCAAGTCACCGAAGCATAATGTGTGAAGTGAACAGTATAATAATATGACTGAATCACAGTGGGAATCTAGTTACGCTTTCTCTTTCCCTAATCTCACTAAGCCACACTTTTAGGGGCTTACAAACCATTTCTTATTGCCAAGCTCTCTACCCTATCCTTTGATAAATCGGAGCCTAGCCTCTGATAACAGAAATAATTTATTTCTCTTGATGTAGAAAGAGATGAAGTTGTTACCCTAAGTGACAGTCATGACAGAACAAAACCACAAGACCAGACCACATTTGTGGATAAATATATTAGCAAATAAATACATTTCTCAACGTAGTGCCTGATTCAAGCGTCTTTCTGTCTGGTTCAGATATAAATACCCATGTGGGTGCCTAGGTGCTAGTCTCCCCACTAACAGGGAAGAAGGTTCCCAGGTGGGGTCCTGTGCCCACTTTATCCCCACATTCACATTCCAAATGGGATAATGCCTGAGGGGCCAACAGTGGTCAGGCTGCCCTTGGGTGAATGTCACCCTGCGGAGGCCCCTCAGCCCTTGTCCACTCTGTGTAAGTGGCCTAGGCCAGACCTGTGCTCTAATCCACTCTCCTGTGGGTCCCTGGCCTGCATGGCTTATACTGGGGAGATGGGCTTCTGGGCCCTCCAAAACCTAAGGGTCACACTTTGCTTTTCCTTTGTTCTCCCCCATTCTCCATCCCTGCTCTGAGACAAAACGTCTCCCAGAGAACTCTGTTGTCCCTGCTCAGCTGTAATTCTGCCTTTTCTACCTTCATTCCATCCTCCCTCCCTCTGCCCAGATGAAGTCCAGCAGAAATTCTCTCCTTTCTGCCTGCTCTGGGACTCTGAGACAGGAAATCTTCAAAGAGGTATTTTTCCCTCTCCAGTATTCTTACTCTAAACTCTCAGAGGAGCTAAGGCTGCTGAAGCAAGAAGGGTTCTTCTGCAGTATGCCCCTCAGAGACAGAACTACACACTAGAATGGGAAAGCTTCAGAGACCCCTCCTTTTAGTTCTCAGGGCTTACCTATGCTCCTGGTCCTTTTGGCAAAAAAGGAATGATAGAGCCTGGGTTGCCCCTGATGTAGCAGCCTTACTGTGGAGGGGCCAAGGCTGGTGTGCAGAACTCACCCGAGGAGGGAGGTGATAAGGTGTCATGTGTTCTGCTGAACCCACTGGCTGGTATGAACATGAAACCTGGGGTGAAGGAGATCTAGTAGGGATCGGGGAAGGAGCAGCACCTTTGTAACACCTGGCTACCCATAGCTAGCTTTCTGCCCTCAAAAAACTCAGCCTTCAAGGGATCCAGCTCACACATGCCACAGGCAGGAGCTGGTTGCCTGGCTGGACACAGACTTGCTGCACTGCAGGTGTGTTCTGCCGACAAGGTCTGGAGCTGGGGCAGGAAATAGCACCCTCCTGCCCTCCACCATCACCAATCCTCTTCCAGTGCTTCTAGGAAGTATGGCAAAAAGACTGGTGTTTGCTATGGTCCTTTCTTCTCTCCGGAGCAGGACTCTGTGCCAGGCAGGGCCCAGACTCATCTGGAGCACACTCTTAGTTGGAGTTAGGCCTGAACATCTCACACAGCCTGTTCACACAGCTCCTCGAGTTCCTCCTCTGAGCCTGTATTTAGAGAGAGGAGAGAAAGGAGGTCACTGAGGGTCAGGCCAGGCTTCTGCTTCTCTCACACTCTCCTGAGTGTGGCTGGGAGGGGACCACAGGGAGGGAGGAGCAGAGACTGTCTGGAAAGGGTGGTTAGATTGAAAACCAGGGGAACATAGGGGAGAGAAAAACAAATCTAAGCAAATACATATAGCAACCAATGTGTTACTACTAATACTTACTATTAACTTATTCACCTAATAAACATTAAGCATTCGTTGTGAATTTAGTCTGCTACCATATGCCAAATAGAAGACCAAAAAGAATAAGCAGGGACCTGGTAATGTTTTTGGAGAGAAAGTATTAAAGTAAATGGCCATTACGCTAGTGAGACAGGACAGGAGTCACGAGAGATCCTTTAAGGAAGGAGAGAGACCAGGTCCAAGTGCAGCAATCAGGAAAGGTTTCCTGGAAGTGGGGATAAATGAGCTGATTCTGTAGGAATAGTTACGAATTCGGTTTATGGGAACAGGGAAGGTAGGAGAATATTCTGGGCTACAGAAGTGTTTACCCAGTTTGGCTAAAGCATTGCCTGGGGAAGGGATACAAGAGAGTAGAAAATAAGGTTGAGAAGGAAGATGGGGGCTGGCTGGTGTGGGAACCTTGGAGGCCAAAGCAGACTGGATTTGTCCTCTCTGTGGACAAAACAGAACATCTGAAGATTTCTGGACAGCTTATTGTAATGCAGATGACACTGGCAGCAATAGGGAGGGTAGGTGAGCAGGAAAGGTGTGGGACACACAACTCTATGGGACATATTAGATGAGCAACACTCAGCCTTCAAGGCCCTGTAAGAGGGAAGGGAAGAGCTAGGAGGCTCCTGTATCGATCTTTAGGCTATACCGAAGACACTGGCAGGGCCAGTACCAGACTTGAGGAGAACATGATAAAGCTAGCCAAGATACAGATACAGTTAACAGAACCTGGCACTGATTAGATGTGAAAGGCAAGGAAAAGAGAGGCACTGAAACTTGTTCTGAGTTTGAAAGAAAAGGGAGATAGTGGTCCGGCACTGGCAGCACTGAGAGTACAGACGATAGGGCCAGGATGGAATCACAAACACATAGCCAAAGCTTGCAGCACATGGCTCTCTCCCCATGGACCAGGATTCCCTGGATGGCAAGTTCCATGTCCTCAGAGCCTAACCTGGAACCTAGCACAAAGCAGGCCTATAGTCAGAAGGAAAAAAAGGAGGGAAGGAGAGAGGAAATGAATGAATGGATGACAGCAGCTCCAGGTCATACATGAAGAATTACTACACTGAGAAATATTTCAGGACCTTTGGGTCACCTCCTAGGGTAGAAGGGTTCTCCTAGTGATGGCTGTAGACAAAGAGCTGTGTCATCCATATAATGGGGCAAGATGGGAAAGAGTGGAAGGTGGAAAGTCCTGGATGGGGAAGAGGGGTATGTGGGCAAGTAAATACCATGTTAAAGTTGAGAACTTACTTGATCACCACTTGTGTTATAATATAGGGATGCACTGAATCCCCCAAAAATTGAGGTTGATCTTATTAATACTGGTGTATGGAAGGGGAGTCCTCTTTGTTCTTTTGCCACAGCGGGAGAGAGAAAACCTAAGGCCCCACAGGGCTGCTGGGAACCATCTGTGGTTTCTCTCTCTCATTCTCTTTTTTTCTCGTTACTCACATATCTCTTCTTGTATAGTCTAGTATTATGGTTATCTGTAATTATTTCTATGATAAGATCATGTTCTCCCCAAGGAACATTTCTTGGCCTTCTTTGTATTTAGAACTAATACTGAACTGTGAGCATTGGTAGAACGAAACCAGTTATTAAAATATAGAAACATTTAAGTTTGAGCTGCTGTCCCAGACCACTTCAAGTACCTTTTTTTATTTTTTTTGAGACGGAGTCTCGCTTTGTTGCCCAGGCTGGAATGCAGTGGTGCCACCTCGGCTCACTGCAACCTCTGCCTCCCAGCTTCATGTGATTCTCCTGCCTCAGCCTCCCAAGTAGCTGGGATTACAGGCACATGCCGCTATACCTGGCTAATTTTTGTATTTTTAGTAGAGACAGGGTTTCATCATGTTGGCCAGGCTGGTCTTGAACTCCCGGCCTCAAGGGATCCACCCATCTCAGCCTCCCACAGTGCTAGGATTACAGGCATGAGCCACTGCACCCGACCTTCCAAGTGCCTTTCTGATCCCTCAGCCACACCGGCACCTCGCTAGGACCTCCCTATGATCTGCCAACTAAAGGGGTAGCACCTTTTAGAGCTGGAGTGTTCCAGCACTCTAGCCAGCATGCTATGCTGTCCCAATGGTTAAGTATTTTCAAACCACTTCTGCTGTATCCTTCTCAGCTTCCATCAACCCTTTGTTGGCTGACTTCACCTGTCCTGAAATATTCAGCTCTAGTTTTTCTCCCTACCACACCCACCTCCCCCTGAAAACTCACCAGGCTGGGCCGGCAGCAACTGGCAGTGTGGATAAGGGCATGGCCTGCCCTCTGCAGTGTCAGAACTCCATTCAGAAGGCCCCTCCCCAGATGGATGTGGTTCTAGGGGCCGGCGAGGAGCCAGACACAACCACACTGGCTGTGAATTTGAGTAACAGGGGCCTGGGGTTTCTGGTAGCAGCCTCCTGTCCAGTCCTGAAGGTCCAAAGATCAAGGGGTGTGCCTCTGGGGACCAAGGATATGACTGGTTGGGGCTGTGATGGGGAAAAATCTGGCAAGCTGGGTGCACAGTTGCATCCTGGGGCCGAGAAGCAGGGGTGGGCTCAGAGGGACCACTCCGCCGTTTCCTCTGTGGGTGTTGGGCAGAGAGGCTGGATTTTTGCAAGTTGAAAAGACTGCTGGTACTGGGACAGATGCTGGAGGCTTCAACTGGGCCAGGAGCTGGCCCAGGGAGGGCCCTAGGCCTCTGTGGGTTAGCAAGCTGCCCCAAAGGGGCTGCTGAGTTGGATCTGGTGACTTGCTGATCAGGAGAAGGTGGCTCCAGCTGGGGCTGTGTCCGAGGAATAGGAGGCCTGGACTGGGGGACCCCAATTTCTGGGCCAGGCTTCCTGCCATGCCACTGGAACCGCTTTTTGTAGTGGTGGTGCCGGTGGCGGTGGTAGTGGACATGGCTGGAAACCTGGGTTTCCCCTGTGGGCACCACTGAATCTAAGGAACGAGGCCGAGAGGTCATGCTGGGCTGCATGTCCACCTGCTGGGGATCCCCTTCAGGGCTGCAGTACACCAAGGGGTCAAAGTCACTGCTCAGGGAGCTGCAGAAAGTAGAGCTGCTGCCATGGATGCCCTGTAGGCTGATGTCCGTGCAGTTGACCACAGAGTCACTAGAAGAGCCATGACAGGGCCCTGAGCTGGAGTCACTGGCTGGCCCATCTGCCAGGTACCCACTGTGTTCTGTGCAATAGCTTTCTCCAGATCCACTGCTGTCGGGGGGTCTGGCCCGGTGCAGGGGCACTGGGCAAGCAGCAGGGTGCTGTGAGGTGCATTGGAGGTGGCTCAGTCCCCAGCCCTGTGCATAGGAGTGCGGGGCCCCTGCCAGGTGCTGCTGCTCTCCTGGAGCCCAGGGATGTGCAGCTCTGGGGAGGCGGTGATGCCGAGGGCCCATGCCTGGCTCCTGGGATGGTAGGAAAGGACCAGGTCGGGGGGGCCGAGCCACTGCACTCTGGGAAGGGCCCAACAGG